TTTATATTTACAATTTAGAATTGTTACTTACTTAAAGTCTGAGAACTTCTTCCACCACTGCCAGCAATCCATCAAACCAATAAGCCTTTGCACACACACAAGTAAACAAACTTGCATGCATTTGTGCACATTCTCAATTCTTACTACTACGCCAAACTGCTGTGTCTGCAGGCGTTGCTGTCTTTGGGCTTGGCTCGTACGCCATTAATCCCACCCATTTATAAACGAGAGCCTAAATATACGCAGCGCTTAATTAAAGTCGGGCATCTATTATGGAAGCGAATCCCAGTTTTATGGGATGAGAAGGTAATTAGTCCCTCAACACCATAGCGCTCATCTCTGTTTCCAGGGGTTATAAATACCAGCCATGCAGCCTCATGAAGGGTATCCCTTAAATTACATCCTCACGCTTTACAAAAGGTTCGAAGAAAGGATTTCAGGAGTTACGTGACATGATGTTTAAACACACGGACTATTAAGATGTTCTTCATCCAGCGGGAGGAGTCACAAGCCAATGGTCATCTGATACAGACAACAACACAACAACCTTAGGAGGCTTGGACACTACGCCCAGACCAAACCACGAGCTGGCTTGCCAAGGTCAGGCTCCACCGGGGAGACAAATAACCTTTCCTTGTAATCTTTGGAATGTCGCATAGGAATCACTTTGGGTAATAACAAATAATGACCCCATCTCTGCCATTGGGAAAAGAGGTATTGATTTCTTTCACCCACCATAGCCGGATATTATGACCTTAGCTTTACGGGGATGGATATGTCAGTCTTTGCAAAATGAAATACCTATTCTATATGATTGGTGGTGACGGGTCAAAAGTCTTATCCCTCAAGTGTTGAAATAACAATATACTGATATTATAGTGTAATAACATTTAAAGTTCAGTACCTCTTACAAAACCATCACACAAATTACTGTACATGTTCAACAAAACATGACTTTTCAAACGTAAACTGAGAGAGGCCAAGATTCTTTGGTTTCAAATTCCAGCTTTTAATAATTTGCCTAATTTGTTAAAGTCATCATAATATACTCAATATGTGTTCATTATTGTATTTCGATAATACTGGCATTGACATAACATTTGCTTTGATTGCAGCAGACAAATTAATACAATTTTAGGATGATGGATGGAAAGATGGATGGATAGATGGATAAGGAGAAGGATGGATGGAAGGACTATCAAAGTGTTTAACAAACTTGCATATCAATTCAAGTTTGGTGGTAGCACACTCCAGATGCAATTATGGCATTACTTTTTCACTATGAGCCTTTTCATAAAAAAAGAATAGTTCAAATTGTTTTAGATATATTTGTTTTTTTGTCTCTTTTCCGAAGGGCAAACATAGGAGATTACATTGTTGAAGAATTCCATGGAATATTGTTACACAGTTGGAGGTTTTAGAAGATGTCCTATACTGTGCATCAGAGTTGCTCTAAGCAGTCTTGTTGTGTTTGAAATGTTGCATGTAAAAATACATTTTTAGTGAACTTGACCATGTCATTGCATGAGTATTTTTTCTTCTGTTACACTGGCCTCAAGGCAATGAATATAAAAAACGTTTTGCTTTCACATTTTCAAGTTAAACCCAGGTTAAAGAACATCTCTTTCATCTAAAACCAACAACTCATCTTTCCTATATACATGATGTTTTAAGTATTCATTTTGCCATCATTTTTCAAGTTTTGTTTTTTTGTGTTCTTTAATGTCCATTACCCGAGCCCTCTCCATTGAAATCATAAAAGCGAGGCAGGTGATGATAAGAAGGTCAAACTCTATTAAATTGTCAATTGTGGGTACTTCAATCTTGGTGAATGTATTCTATTCAGACTGAGACTGAAAAAGGACTTGACAGTAAATTCAATAGCCTAATAAGGAGTCTGTCCATCATTTTATTTCCACATTTTCTCTCACTGAACCTCTCATCCATAAACTGTCAGTTCAGATTTTTATTTTGAACTTTGATGAAAAACAAAGTGCTTCATCATGAATTATGATACAGTAATGCTAATTACATTTACAAGCCCTGTAGAAATTCAAGCAGGTTACATTGATCTGACCCAGAACACAATAAAGTGCCCTAGCTACAGTATGGGTACATTTTGAATCCTATTATGTTTCTCATTATCAAGATAAAAGCTTTTTTTGAGCAATTGTCGAGGGGATATGGTGCATTACAAAAATGAATGAGAAAACAGAAATACTCCCAATTATTTGAAAATTGCAAGCTTTTACATTTTAAGAATAGGTTACGGGTTAGAGTTAGGGTTAAGTATACTTTGTGCTTTGCCGCTCACTCCAGAAATCAGTACTTTATTATTATTTGTTGCATTATTATTAGATAAGACTTGGAGTATTACAGTCTTTATAGAATGGCAGGACAGTTACCCGGGTGGGGGGTTCCTCATGCCCTCAGGCTTAATAAAGGCAACATGCTCATGCAGTGTTTGAAGAATAGCAAAGGCTTTAGAAACTTTCCAGAGAGTGAAGAAGGACAGACTAGAAGGTACCAAGAGTTCAGGGTTTAGCCTTTTAAAACTTGATGATTGAATTCCTTGGCAGGGGATTCATTAAAATGATAATTCTTATTTATGAAGCCCTTTAAAAAATTAAAATACTCTCTGTGTAGCGCTTCCTATTAATTAACTTTTTTTTCCTCTCATTTTCTTTCTTTCTCTTTGCTACTTTTTTCTTTACTTCCCACTGAACTTGACACACTAATAGGTTATGAATAATTCTGTTTCAGTTTAGACGGCAATTAGCCACCATGCCAGAGGCCATTCTTCTATCTCTTGTGGAGGGGTGATTTAAGACCCAGCTGAGTAAGGGTGCACAAACTATCCCGCGACTACATCACTCACTGCATCCCACCCAACGCTGAAACAAGAAACAGTTAACTGGGTAAATCCCCGACCATTAATAAAGTCTTTAGCTGACGAGTGTGTGGGGATCAGTCAAACAGAGCCATGGGATTGGTCATCAAATAAAACAGAACGCAGGGTCAAGAGCTTACTTAAAGAGTCTTAGTCGGAAGGAGAGAAAAAAAGAAACATGAACACCACAGGCAGCTCTCAGAGGCACGGAATGTGATAATGGAGTAATATCGTCACACGGAGCCCCTCTCTGGTGTTCCACTGAAAAATTTCACCACTGCTAATTAGCCGTAGGACCACATGGAGAACAGCATGTCTTTGCTGCTGGAATTGATACATCAGACGCAAGCGAACAGCTGTCGTTAGGGGGAATATAATACAATAATTACAGCACTGACTGTGCAATAGCCCACAGGCGCAAAACGTCATCTATTGATTGGATGAGATATAACTGATAATGGTAATAGAGGTTTTATTTGGCAGTGGCAATAAGGTTGGAAGAAAGCAAACTGCATCATTATTAAATCTGTGTGATTGACATGGAGAAAGGACCCACAGATGGATGGATAGATGCAGAAATAATGTACAATATAAAGTGTTTTGACTTAAATTGTTAATACTGGGAAAGCAGGAAAGCAAACCTCCGCCAACTTCAACTTAAATGTCCAGTTCGATCAATTTCTTGACACAACACACCTTTCAGGATTTAGAAACTAGTCTATTTATGTTAGGTTCATTGATAAAGCAAGCAATAATAATCCAAATGCAGATATTCACATCCAGATAACCACTTAAATGTAATCGATTTTTTCATTGCCAAAGGCCTAAATGTAGAGAAAATGTGTTTCATTCATTCTTGGTACTATACAGACAGTCATGACAACTGGATGAAGAACTATCCACAGTGTATCAGACAACAACATAGGTAATAATAAATACTGTATCATCCCATGTGTAAATTATATTTGGTAGTGATTGTGGGAGGTTGATTAATGCACTTGTCTGTAGTGCCATCTTGAAGCCAACATCCATCAAGTGTTGTTTAAAAAAAGTTTTCACTTAAATCCTGGACATGCAGTAGAAAGAGATGTTCTCAAATTCATCCCAACTTTATCCTACTTTAACTCCATGAAGAGGATTAAAGAGATCAAAGCTAATTAGTGCGTGCAATTATTATTTGTATCCACTGTCAACTATTTCAGATTTAATATAATAAATGTTTTTTTTTTTTGGCCCACTTGGGGGCAGTAGTAAGAAGTTGTGAATAAACATTGACATAACACCGCCTTCCCAAATCTCTGTCTTTTGCTGCAACGTGCTTTACAATGTTTGCCAGCTAGTCACTATAAAGTCTGTCTGAGCTCCCTCGGTTTTACCGATTATTTGATACATTGATCTCATAAAACATTTGATTTTACATGCTTTAAGCGAGTCAGCAAAGCTTCACTTCACTCATTTTAGATATGATAACAAAGAGGCCCTATCATGCTTTTCTGGGTTTTACCCCTTTCCTGTAATGTTGTATTAGGTTGCAATTGCTAGCACATCACATTGTACATGATAGGCTAAGGGGCGGGACATCTCTGAGCGGTTGACCAATCACAACAGAGCAGTCCAGCTAACCAATCAGAGCAGACTGGGCTCTGGTTTCAGACAGAGGGTGAAAAGAGGAGCTGCAGCATATGCAGGATGAGAACACTTTTTGAACATTAAAGCATGTAAACATGTCCCAGTAGAGGCACAACATATAAATATGAACCTGAAAATTAGCACGATAGATCCCCTTCAAAAATTGAATTCCTTGTTACTTTCTAGAAAACAGTATGACTAACTGTTTTGAAAAATGACCACTCCAGCACCTCACATAAAACTAGAAAACACAGTTTAGAGTGAGTCAGACATCTTTTTCTCCTGCCAACAGGCCTGCAAAGCATTTCACTTTTCAATCTTTGTCAAACTGTTCAACCCGCTGACTCTGAACAGTCCCTCTCCATGCAACCTACGTCCCTCCCTGCAGCACACCATTTCTAACATCGAAAACCGAATGGAACACACCACTGAAAGGACGTTTCCTTTGCTATAATATAAAAAGTTCAGCAATGGTACTCACACATAACAGTAAGAAAAACATTCCCTGAAGCCAGAACAACCTTCTCCCTTGTTGCCCGGTCGTAGATGCCCACATGGCATTCGTAAGGTCCATTGTCTGAGATCCGCACCTCCGGGAGCCTGTAAAATACAAGAGTTTATGAGTTGATACAAATGTTAGCAGACTGGCAATACTTATTCAGTGATGCACAACTAAAATATGTTTTGGGGAAGTGCATAGGTGAGAAATAAAATGTACTGTTGATTGTTATGAGATAAAATAGTTTGCCATTAGTCATCTATTGATCTAAAACATGACATTATGAGATCATTCAATTGAATAATGTGCACCCAGCGAATTCAGCTGTTTCCTATAGCCACGCTCAGATATGTACTAATATGATATGAGTTCATTTAACTGTATTACTTTTGAGGATATAAGATCAGTGATTTAAAGGTCACCTATTATGCAAAATCCACCTTTTCATGTCTTTTATACATAAACATGTGCAAAGAGATTCTGAAAGTTTCAGGAAAAAAGATTCACTCACTTTTGTCCTGATCCATTTATATAAAAACCTGTCTGAAAATGAGCTGATCAGATTTTGGCCACTTTGTGATGTCATAACGATTTTTTGGCTTGTGTAACCATTAGCCAATCACCAACCAAGGCAACACCCGCCCACCTTATCACCTGAATCTCCTCCTAGAGCACCATTGTGTTTTTTCTAACCAAATATCTCTCAGAGGGGCGTGGGGAGTGGCTCCTTATTTTCATCTAAAGTAACAGACAGAGAATCAGTACTTTTGAAACAGGGCTGAAACAGAGGGGATTATGGGATGCTACAATGCATGATCTGTTTGGTATTTAGAGCCAAACACTTCAGAGACATGTTTTGTATATATCTGAGACCTATAATATATTGATGAAAAACAGTATAATAGGGGACCTTTAAAGTGAGCAGACAACTTTCGATACAGTAACACAATTCATGTATGCTTCTTGGTTTACATATTTGGTAATGTTTCAGTCCGATACGCACCATCATCCGAGCTAAACATCAATAATTGGTCACAATCTGCAGCTGGAGGAGATAGGAGTGCTTAGGGACCGTCTACAAACTGCAACACCGAAAACATATACTCAAGGAAAAATTCAATAACATTTTTGAAAGATGTAGTGCTACCAACATCTCTAAACACATCAATGGTTATGTTGTTGTTACAGTACAACACTTATTTTGAATAAATATGTTTTAAAATATTTTTGTAACCTGTTTTTTTCTTTGTTTGATTTGTTAGGAAATGTGGGCTTATTAACACGTACATATATATTCAAGAAGTACAATTTGGCCCCCGGGCCGTAGTTTGGACAACCCTGATGTAGCATGAGCAGCAATGTACTATGTATGTGTGAAAGTGGTTTGGTTGCACTACATTATAAAATGTCAAAGTAGTTTAAAATAGTTTGAAATAAAAAAGCCTGAAAAATATTTAAAATCATATTTATTCAAAATAAGTGTTATACTGTAACAACAACATAACCATTGATGTGTTAAGAGATTTTGGTAGCACTACATCTTAAAAAAGTTATTGAATTTTCTAGTATATTTTCCTGTTTTCGGCGTTGCAGTTTGTAGACGGTCCCTAAGCACTCCTCTCTCCTCCAGCTGCAGATTGTGACCAAATCTTGAGGTATAGCTCGGATGACGGCGCGTATCGAACTGTTCTGATAAAAACGACTCTGTAGCTCGTTGTCTACCTTGCTATGATTGTAAAGTCATGTTGTTTGTATTTTTACAACGTTATGTTCATGAGTTATTGATCCGCGAAATTCAAATCTGTCAATAACTCAGCTCAGAGTATGCTTTGCGACGTGCATGTCCCCTCGCTCTGAGTGTTCTCTTGAGGTGTCTTTCACTTATGTGAAACCCGTGCCTATTGCCAAGCACTGATGTTATATCTTTATATTTAAGGCCAAGCTCAAAGTAAAGTCGATGAACCGCTCCATTGTTGTGGTTTCTGTGTTGCCGAACTGACCAGGAAGTACATTGAGCTAAATGAAACGTTTATTTGAAAAATAAAAATAAAAATGTTTTTTTCGAGACATCGCAAAAGTATTGCGAGATCTTGCAAAGGGGTTTTGCGATGTCTCGAAAAAAACATTTTTCTTTTTTTTTTTCAAATACATTTTTTTCTTCTTCTCCATGTCCCCTAGGGGGCTCCATAGTATTCTGCACTCGGCTAATGTGTCAACAGTGATAATCAAAGTGAGACACTACTATCCACATTTAGCCCCTGTGATTTATTCCCACAAAAGAGGAACAATTGTCCTTGCCGCCTGGCTGTTTCAGAAGGGGACCTTTGTTTGAACAGCGGCAGGGCGCTCACAGCAGCCAGGCTTTAATGAGTTCAGCTGTGTGTGTGCGAGTGTCTGCTTGTGTGTAGAGGAGATAGCTCTTTTAGAAAAGTAAAACCTGTGCTCCAACAAAAATCTGTCTACAATATAAATACATATATTTTCCATTATGTATTTGTTTTGTCCTTCTCGGTTCTTTGCAATTTTTGGAAATCTAAAAGAGGCCCTATTTGGGGTTTTCCCTTCCCTGTAGTGTGTTATATAGGTTTTGGTGCATGTAAATGGTCTTCAAAGGCTAAAATCCCAAATTTCCCTCATGAGGGAGTTTCTCTCCCACACACTCCCCCCCTTGCCTGAAACGTCTCCATTAGACTCCTTTGTTTTCTTCTGCGCCATAGTGACATCACTACATAACACTGTTCTTCTATTCTATGAAGTGATAGGGGCGGTGACCATCACAAAAGAGGTGACCAGCTAACCAATCAAAACAGACTGGACTCTGGTTTCAGGCAGAGGGTGAAAAGAGAGGCTGTAGCACAGGCAGTATGATAAAAATAAAGACCTTTTTGAACACAAAATACAAATCTGAACCTGAAAATGTGCAAAAAATGTCCTCTTTAATTCAGTAAAAACAAATGAAACATGACTAACATTAATTGCTGCCCTGAATCACAACAGGTCAGTGGGGGCTATCAATAAAAACATTGTGTTTGATATACCCAAGCAAAAAGTAACATTTTACTGACCGAACAGATCATAAACAAATGTTTGAAAAAGGTATGAAAAAGAATGAGCACCACAAGTGAGGTTTTCTTCACAAGAGCTTCCCAAGAGATGGGCATAAAACAAGTACGTCTTTTTTCCCACTACAGGGCAAAATGATGAGAATAGCACTGTGAATCTATCTGTAGCGGCGGGTTGGGGAGATAATTGGCTTTGTCTTGGCTGGCTACATTATAGTAAACGCTGATGTAGCCCATTGCTTTGTTTTTACAAACAAAGCCGTGGATCTGTTATCCACAGTCCTGACTGCTGCATTTATGGATTCAAACCAAGACAAGTGCAGGGGGAAGGAAACCAGAGATAAGATGATTCAAAGCATTGAAGTATTGCCGGGAAAAAGGGGGAGGAGGCCGCCATGAAACTTCCAACCACAGCATGAGTGACCGCCTGTTTCTGAATTCTCCTGCAGCTTGACAGGAAGACATATCCGTCAGAATATGGGGAAGAAAAAGAGCAAAGGTTGTACTCATAACATTGAGATTCCTGTAAAATATTAAGACTGCAGGAATTAATTTTTCAACAACCTGTCTAATCTTTGATGTCATGTATTTCAGAGGTGGTAGTCTATTGAGAATCTGTTCACAAAAGTGGAACACGTGACTCACGTGGGGCAGCTGTTTTTTCCTACAGCGGCCTCCTCTTTAATGTCAATTGGAAACTCATCTAGGAATGAGTCATACTTCTAATGTACTTATTGGAAAAAACCTAATATACCGCATTTTAGATTTTTTTCAATATATTAGATTATTGCTTTTTTATCCCTTTGAATCAGGACTTAAATCAACAGTGCCACACAGTTATTAGCATGTGGCTTTACTATGATATATAACTCATTATCATATATGACAAGCATTATCATGGTATACATCCTGTAATAAACATTTAGTATTTTACGAGAAAAATTCCCTGTGTATCTTCAATTACCATACTTTCTGCCACTTTTGCCACCTACAAGTCTTTTCTTCAGCCTTGCAAACTGAACTTATCACACAACATATTCATGGTTAATACCCAACCAAGTGAGTAGGTAATCGAATAACCAAACTATTTCCAGCAAACCACATTAAACACTTCAAACTCTCCCCAGTATACCAGAAAAAAAGACTTCATACACAGACGACATCGATAGCAATGGGCCCCCGTGGAGGAGCATCAAAAACAGCACACGCAAAGACAGATCGATTGTCCCCTAGGAGTTGCATCTGAAAGCTCTTTCCTGTTATGTAGGCCGTCCTGCAGAACTCCTCCTGCCTACAAATGCAAGCAAATGCGAGTGCCGAGATGGAGAGTGAAAAAGAGCAGACCTGACAGAGAGGCGTCTGATAGCTCATCAAGTCAATCTCTGCATCAAATTAACTAGCACATTGTCACATACTCTTTATGGCCCGTAGCATTACGCTCCAGTGGGTCAAAGCTGGCGTCTGTAAGTCAGCTCACTCGATGAAAAGCAGAAGAAAATTGCTTAGAGGACAGGACGAGATTTGTAATCACGCAGGTTTTCTTAAGGAATAAACATGAAACAAAATGACGAGGAAACTGCTGTGATTCCCAGTGCCAAGGGAGGTGCGATTGGCTTTGTGCTGGCTTTCATATTATAGTAAATGCTGATGTAGCTCATCTCCCTGTTCTTATCCACAAAGCTCTAGTTCTGTCGTTTGCTACCCGAACTGCATTCATGGATTCAAATCCATACGAATGCACAGAGGAGGGCTCAGTGAAAAATAAGTAAAAAGCATGGAGGTATTACTGGAACAGGAAAGGGACCATAGAGAAACCTCACAAAAAAAAGACTTTCCAGTGATTACAGAAGGAGCTCTATAGCACCGTTTAAATTGCATTAAATGGGTTATGTTTTGTACTTTTCCTAAACAATTTAAGAAGAGAAAAGCCACGTTGAAAGTAAGAAAGTAGGAATTTGCATTACAGTACATAATTCAAATGAAATTGGTGTTACAACATTTCAAAATTGTCAAAATAGGAATGATTTAATTTGTCACTT